ATATATATATATATATATTGTGTTCTCTTGAGGCTAAGAGGGATGCAGAGAGACATACCGCAGGCTCAGCATCAACACGGTGATGGTAAAGAGCAGGATGTGCGTCAGGTTCACATCGAAGGTCCTCTGCAGCAGCAGCAGCAACAGCAGCAGCAGCAACAGCAGCAGCAGCAGCAACAGCAGCAACAGCAGCAACGAGAGCATACAGTATTATATCCCGAAAAAAAAAGAAAAAAAAAAAAACTGGAAAAGTCTGTCTCTCCTTCACCGTCTGCATCTGCTGAATCGTGACCCCTCAACTAATATGTATTTCATTACACTGTACACTACATCTGCATTCTCTTGTTTTTTTTTTTGTGTTTGTTGTATTTACTTTTTAGTCTTAGTGGTGTACTGACACCGCACCAGCAGCACGCTACGCTCATCATGAGTTCTATTATACCCTAAACCCTAAACCCTAAACCCTATTTGTGTGCAGTGTGCTGTGGCCAAGGAGTAAGCAGCAATTCAACAAAAGAGAAAAGTATTTGCATATAAAGATGAATTCATGAAACGATCAGTTTTATAAGCGCCCCCTCACCCGTCATCCTCAAGCGCAGCTACCACAAACTGTAAACCCTAAACCCTAAACCCTAAACCCTAAACCATACCTTGAAGGGGAAGAGTTTCTGCAGTATAAAGCCAACACGCCATGAGCTGAACCGCTGGTCTTGAGCGACATTCCATAGTTCCCCGAACATGTAGAGAGAAAGTGCAGAGATCATCATAGCAAAGAGGCCGAGAATTGCGGCTGTAAAGCACAGAAACTCAACATAAGCTAGAACTGAGGTGTCTAGACACCTGAATACGGTTGCGTTCAAGCGGCGGTGATGCAAGTCTAGCTTCATGAATGCTTCTGTATGGAAACTAAACAACACACTCCTACATATTCCCGTTTTATATATTAAATACATATTCTCACCATCTAAGAAACGAGACGGCTGCACTGAAGACCCCATTTTGACTGAAACTTGAATATGATCGCGGCGGGCGGGAGCCGCCTATGGTGAGGAAAGCAGAAGAAAAGAAGACGGAAAGCTCCGAGGAAGGTTCTAGTAAATTGTTTTAATGATTCTATTTAATGTTTTTCTTCATGAATTTCATCTGTCTCACCTTCATTTCAGCCGCTTTCCGCCCCAGCCATGCCTACATGCACACCAACCCAGCAGCTGGATCCACTCTATGCAGCAGAGGCTGCAGGGCTTCGCCCACCTCATCACCACCCCCAGCCCGAGGTCTACTACCCTCCTCACTATAGGGGCCCCCAGCAGCAGCGGCGCCGTCGGGTGTCTGTACACCTGATCTTTAAATTCTTGAAATATGCAGCTTTATACACAGGGATGGCCTCACTGTACCGCTTGCTTGCACTTCTATCAGAGGATCCAGCAGAGCCTACAGACGCAGGGGAGGGGAGGAAGAGAGAGGGGCCCCCTGCAACTGTCTCGCGACGGCCTCGATGAATATAACTCGTGCTTATTGAAATTTATTTTTTAGCTGCTTTATCTAAATGATGAACAGCTGCTGCAGGGGCCCCCAAACTCCTTCTCTTTTGCTATTGGAGTCAGCCGCCAACTCCACCGCAGCAGCGCGAGAGATCTGCTGCAATCTGCTGCATTTTTTCTTTTTTTTCTCTGCTTAGTTGTTGTATTTAGAGTTTTTTGTTTATCCTCACGGCTCTATAAGTTTCATACTCCGGCTGAAACGCAGCAAAATGCAATTTGCCGCAACAACAGCAGCAGCAGCAACAGCAGCAGCAGCAACAACAGCAGCAGCAGCAGTTCCTTCTGGCGATCAAGAGGGGCCCCTGTCCACTGCATCTCAGAAAACAGCGCAGGTTTACGAGCAGCAACAGCACGAGGGGGGCCCCCTAGGTGAGGGGGCCCCCCCTGGGGCCCCCACCCTATCGTTTGCTTCCCCCTCTGCAGGCTCAGCTAAAGAAAATGAAGATAGACAAACAGAGTCAGAAAACAAAAACACAGAAACAAGAAAGCCGCAGCAGCGAAAGCGTTTTGTTCCTGCTGCTCTTACAACCCAAAGTAGTTTAGTTTCTGCACGTCTCGCGTTTGCTGCTTCTGCAGCAACAGAACCAGCAGCAGCAGCAGCAGCAGCAGCAGCAGCAGCAACAGCAGCAGCAGCAGCAACAATAGAGAGCCGTAAGAGCGTGTTTCAGAGGGCTAGAGAAACTCTCATCGCCACAGGGGCTGTACAAAAGCTGCAAGAAGTAGCAGCAGGCAGGGGCCCCATCAACCCCAAGCGGCGGACCCCGCAGCAGCAAGCTATCTCTCCTGTACCTGTAACAGCAGCAGCAGCAGCAGCTGCTGCTGCTGCTGCAGCAGATGCAAATACAACAGCGGATACAGCGCCAGGAGCAGAGCCAACTCCAGAGCCTGCAGCAGCAACAGCAGCCGCACCAGCAACAGCAGCAGCGCCAGCAACAGCAGCAACAGCAGCAGTAGCAGCAACAGCAGCAGCAGCAGCAATGAGAGGAGAGCGGCGCGATGAATCTGCTGCTGCTACAACAGCAGCAAGAGGAGAGATAGACAGCAGCTTTGCTTCTCAGTACAGCCCAGGCAGCTACGCAACCCGCCGGCATTCATATTTGCCTTCAAATTTTTCTTCTCCGCTGCTGCTGCTGTCACCTAGAGCATCTGCAGCAGCAGACAATGCAGCAGCAGCAGCAGAAGATGATGCAGCAGCAGCAGCAGCAGCAGACGCAAACCCCTTCTCCCCAGGCAGCAGCAGCAGAAAGAAAAACCTCCTCAGCACCCCCCCGAAGGAAACAGCTAATCAAGAGGGGCTTCCTGCTGCCGCATCGACGTCCGATGCTGCTGCTGCTGTTTCTGCTGCTGCTGCTGCTGCTGTTGCTGCTGCAGCAGCAGCAGCAACAGAAAGAAATGCAGGAGGTGTCGCGACAGACCCAGCAGCAACGGCAGCAGCAGCAGCAGCAGCACCGCCAATGACGGCGGGAATGACTGCTGCAGCAGTAGCAGGAGGGGAGCAACGAGCAGCTGCAGCTGCAACGGCACCTGCTGCTGCTGCTCCTTCTCCTGCTGCTGCTGCTGCTGCTGGTGGTGTAGCAGCAGCACGTGAGGAGCCGCGTGTTCGTGGGGCCCCCAATCAAAGAGAAGCAGCAGCAAGCAAGCGGCGCCGTACGGGCTCCACAGCCCCTGCCACTTCTGCTTCTGCTGCTGNGAAGCAGCAGCAAGCAAGCGGCGCCGTACGGGCTCCACAGCCCCTGCCACTTCTGCTTCTGCTGCTGCTGCTGCTGCTGCTGCTCGTCGCTTTTGGCTCAGCTCTCAGCAGCACAGGAAGGATCAGCAGCAGCAGCAACAGCAGCAGCAGCAGCAGCAGCAGCGGTCAGCACGAGCTGGCGGGCAGGCTGCTGCTGTTTCCCCTCTTCCTGAGGGGGGTGTACGTACAGCTCGTTCTGCTGCTGTCAGTACAGCTGAGGGGGAGAAGCATCAAGGCTCTGCTGCAGCAGCAGGAGCAGCAGTTGCTGCTGATGCACCAGCTGCTGCGCCATCGCCTCCTCTTGCTGCTGCTTCTGGCCAACAAGGAACAACCCGCAGCAGCAGCAGCAGCAGCAGCAGCAGCAGCGGGCCACCGATACGCCTGGACAGCAGCAGCAGCAGCAGCAGCAGCAGCAACTTTGACTTGCGTGCGTTGAGGGAGCAGTGCTACAGGGGCGATGGGGGGCCCCTGCTGCAGTCTGTTACTTCTCTGTCTTCGGGGGGCCGCAGGAGCTCTCGGCATCGCCGCAGCAAGAGTCCCCTTATAGGCTCTGCTGCTGCTGCTGCTGCTGCTCCGCCTGCTGCTGCTGC